AAAGTGCTGATTCTGTGTCTGTTACTTTAGATGAAAATAAGGAGCCACTCCCCACGCCCCTCTGAGAGATATTTGGTTAAAGAAAACACAATGGTGCTCTAGGAGGAGATTCAGGTGATAAGGTGGGGGGGGGTTACCTTGGTTGGTGATTGGCTAATGGTTACACAAGCCAAATAAACGTTATGACATCATAAAGTGGCCAAAATCTAATCAGCTCATTTTCAGACAGGTTTTTATATAAATGGATCAGGACAAAAAGAGAGAGAATCTTTTTTTCCTGAAACTTTCAGAATCTCTTAACGCAGAGGGGACGCATGTTTATGTATAAAAGACATGAAAAAGAGGACTTTGCATAATAGGTGACCTTCAAAAACCGCCTGATGTCTTTCTAAGATGTTTTCTTTCCTAAAGAGAAACCTTAATAATAAACGTTATTTCTAAGGGTTTTTGACGGACGACCTGGTGAGCCACGAGGACAACGGAGAGCAGAAGAAGTACATGGGCGTGTGCCGTTTGCCAGACCACCGCCATCGCAGGCTGGACATCATCGTCGTGCCCTACAACGAGTTTGCGTGTGCTATCATGTATTTCACCGGGTCGGCACACTTCAACCGCTCAATGAGAGCCATGGCAAAGACAAAAAGAATGAGCTTATCGGAACACTCGCTGAACAAAGATGTGGTGCGTCAGGGTAGCTTAAAGGTGTTTGGCGGCACTCCGTTCACTACAAAGACAGAGAAGGATGTTTTTAGTATTTTAGGCATACCATACAGAGAGCCCCATGAAAGGGACTGGTGAGGTTTCCCCAATCACACTGTTTTGTCTGTTTTTAAAGAATAATCATGATGATGAATGATGACAAACTGCAATTATGGCCAAACAACTATTTTTAAGAATGTTTTACTGCTGAACTTATCATGCATGAGCCCTGTTTTACTTAAATACCATTTTATTCTACAATTGAATTGATACGTACCATTTAATCATAAGAACTACCTTTTTTCTTACACTCAACCCTAATTGTATCTTTTCTTCCAGATTGTTTAAGGGATGTGTACCAAAGTTTTGAGATATCCATCTCTGAAACTCCTACTGACACGCCATTACAAACAAATATTGGGAATTTTGCTGTAGGGTCCAGAAAAAGTCCAAAATATTTTTAATTGTATTCTTAAGGAAGGTTTCTTACGTGTATTATTCACAGTGTAGAAGGTAGCTGAATTAAGCTGACTAAACAGGAACACTATGAAAAATAAATGTTGCTTTGAAGTTTAATCAATGTTAAATTGTAAAACTTCTATTATTCAAGGCTGACATCAAAGGTTTTAAAGGTGAATATATAAGCAATTCAACAGGTTAATCAAAAAGCTGTGTGCAGGCCTGGATACAACTTGAGGTGAATATAAATGTATATATATATGATTTTGCAAGTTGATTAAATGTGTCTTTTAAAGTCATTTTAACATATATGCTTGATACTTTGTATTTAAAAAAATAAAAAAAGTGGGTTATGGTAATAAAAAAAAGGGAATTGAAAATATCTTCCTGTGTCTTGCTTTCAGAACTGCACAATAGAATGTTTTATGTTTACAAGCTTTAGTCTGAAACGACAAGACAGTTCTAGCTGCAGTATTTACTGGCTTGTACTTTTGTGACATTCTATGTAACTTGACCGGCGTTTGGTACAATCAAAAACTTCTCTAGTCATTTTTACATTGAATATGGCCTCATAAGGGGGGGATACCACATTTAAAAAGTCATGAGGAAATAAATAACTTTCCCCATAAACTGGAGAAGGGGCACCCAGAAAGACAACAAGGCCATGCACTGGAGACGCACCGGTCCCTGATTGGTCAGTCTCTCCCCAGCTGGCCTTTGCTGTCCAATCACGATTCAGTCCGCAAAACCGGTGGCGATCCACGCAACCGCACGCGCATCACGTTGTGCACTGCACATGGATCGGGTCGAGGTTACCACGCCACACCCAGCGGACCGAGGCGGAGTGGCTGTGCTGAACTGTATCCGCCAGTAGCACCCACACAGCCAGCGCCAGCGCCAGCTCCGAGTGAGATGTCCAGAGGAGGCGGCGCGTCCAGCGGCCTCTCAGCGCCACAGGGGCCGCGAAACAGTTGAACATATTCGGGCATAGTTTGCGAACAACACTGTTTGCGTGCGTATATTTTTGTCGGAGCTGTAGCCACTTTTTTTGGAGGAATGAGAGGCGTATGTCCGGCTCTCAACATGGGATTGTTTTTGCACGCTGTTGGCTCTGTCACCCCCACCGAGTCCGCAGCAGACAGGGTAAGACTGAGCAGTCAAAAACAAGGCTCTCTCTCAGGGCTGTTAGCTAGCTAGTTATCTGGCTAACTTAGCAAACTGGAAAACTTTATATTAACTGGCTTATAAAACAACATGTCAAGTCAGTATAGCAACATAGTGTTTCTGTTTTCATTCTATATTGACTTTCTTTCACTTATAGTGTGCTGTCAAGAAAGATATTCGCATGCTTGTTGACTTCGTCTGCTAGCTGCGATAGCTAACCCAGTTAGCATAGTTAAAGTGAAGGGACGCTCGAGTCAGGGCCCTGCTGTGTCTTGTTTATGGTAAAGGCAGGGTTTGACATTTCAGTCAGAAGTGTGTTCCAAATAAAAATAAAAGCAGTTCTACAGGTATGGAAGTGGCCACACAGGTAGACATAACAAATAGCATTGACTGGTACATGTATTGATTACTGCCATCTAAAAAGAAAATAGTTCTAATATTATAGCAATTTATTTTATAAGATAATAAAATATGTTATTGGCAGTGTGTTGACAATGACGTTGTTAAAATAAGTTGACCCAGTCATGTCATCAAGCAGATTTATTATTTATACAACTGTTTTAAATACAAGAATAACTGTATTATGTGTTAGTGTTATCGTATGTAGAACATAATTTGAAGTACAGTCTCCATACATTCTCCTGTCTTTTTTATTATAATAGTCACCTAGGCAGATAATGATATGCTGTTAAATAATTCATGTTGATTAATAGGGGATAAGAGTTACCTTTTTTAAACTTCTGAATCGATATTCTTAGGGTTTCTTCCTTACAGCTAAACTTGTATTGTAACCTGGTGTTATTTCCTGTTTAGTACATTCACATTGCAACTTCTGAGGAGGTAGACATTAGTAGTGAGCTTCAGATTATTGTCAAAAACAAACCTACCTGCCAAGAGGGATATTTGTTTTACATTCTCAATTTTTGCAGTCTTACCCTGCTTTTGTTTTGGAGAAATGCTGTGGTTGCAATAATACACATTGTTGTGTTTCTTATGGCGTCCCTTGTGCATGCACAATATATATAACATAGAGTATATTTAGTCATGCAATTGTCCTTGGTCTTGTGACTTTTCAGTAAACATTTTAAAGGCGTTGACATTGCTCTGAGAGAAGCAGTTTGATTTGTAGTGTTATTTCAGGACAAACATTAGTACAAATGATGCCTTCAAGAAGTATGTTATTTGTTCATGTATGAAAGACTCATGGCCCTTAGGAGACCATTTCAATCACATGGCCCTGAGCTATATCTTCTATTTGAATTCATCCAAAAACAGAGGCAGCTATATTTTTTCTGTCACAGTATTTTGGTAACCTGTTATCGTCAGTTATTATGATTAACACTCAGATCTGTTTTCATCACCAGTTTACAGCAAAAAGGCAAACGATTTCTTCTAGTTTGCATCATTTCTGTAATCTGTCAAAAATGTGTACCTTTCACTGATAGATTTGAAACGTGATGTATTCAAGAGCTGGAGTCTCAAAAGCTTTACAAGTGTTTTTGTTTCTTTACACAGCTTATCATAGCACCTAGAATAAGAAACAAAAGTTGTCAGTTACTTTTTTCACATGACATCATGGGGTAAAAAAAAGCTGGGGTCTTGTCAGCATCCTCCACACACACATCTTAAATGTATAAATACAGTGTTTTGTTTTGGGGGGAAAAGGACCGTTATTAATTTCTTTTTTTATTATTACTTACTTGCAGGTATTAACATAGCAAGTTATCAATCTCATGAACTTTATCATACCTGCCACTTTAATATATTAACTGTGTAACCAAAATAAGACTTATAATCATGATACTACCATCATTTCTGAAGCCATTGTCAAATGTCATGTTTTTACATCAGTGCATTTCTAACAATGTTCCTTAGAGACACCTCTAGTTGACGGCAACATGTTTGTGTCCCAGTTTGATTATAGTCCTTGAATAGTACCAGCTACAGTAAGTGTAATCTTGTATTCTAAAGTCCTGGCAAAGTATGTTCTGACTTGTAGGTAGAATGTAGCTACTTGTTTGTTCAACTGAACTCCTCAGCTATGTGGGATAGTATTGCATTTCAGGGACAGTTCACACAAACAAATGCATACTTTTTTCTTTTACCTGTCAATCTAGATTGTTTTTAGAATTTAGGGATTTGAGAAATCTCCCAACTAGGCTCTTGCTGGTGACAGTGCCAGATGTAAACAGCTGTAACGTTAGCCAACTCAGTAGGGCTAGGTGAGCTAGCATTAGCTTCATTCTCCGCGTTGATACATTGGCCGGTGTTGTTCGTTAGAGAGAAAGTAGTTCCTCTATGAACCTGTGCACAACATGCCTTTTGGATTATCTGAGTAACCGGGCCTTAATTTCTAAGAGACATTGCTGTCGAGTACTACTTCCTTTTTCTCCCTTTTCTTTTAGAGAAGGTAAAAATGTCTACGACTAATACCTCCAAAACAATTTAGATTGATAAATAGCTCTTTAAGTAAGAGGAAAAATAGATGTTTTACATTTTTGGGTTGAACTAGCCCTTTAAAGGCTGTTTGGAACGTATCAGTGGTGTTGTTACATCCATGACCTTGATGACTATAAAAAGCGCATTTCTTTGTTGCAAGACAGAATAATAAATAAGGGGTCGGCAAGGTCTTTATGTGCATCAGCTAACTTGCCAAGTCCCTACAGGCCTGTATTAAGTGGATCAACTCAGAATTAACTCAGAACTGTACCCTCTTAACTCCAGTGACTGTAATCGATAGCCGTTCTCACTGTCTGCTCATTTCAGCAGCTTCTCATTAATAAGGATTATTATTTTCTAACGCAGCGATCATTTCTGGGACGGAAACCAAATCCAACTTTAATCTTGTAGCGTAGCATGAGAGAGTGGATTGTTGCCTGTTTGGATGATAGACAGAGGAATCTAGTCTCTCCAGATTCTTTGCTCAGTCACTGTCTCCTATAAGATAAAGGTTACAGGGATAGTCTCAGATGAGCCGCATTTTTTTCAGGTTAAGGCTTGATTGACGTCCCATCCCGCAATTTAACGCGCTGAGTGACATGCATGTCAAAGATTAGATGGAGCACTTTTTCTCCACGAAAGGCCTGTTTACGAAGCCCCCCCCGACCCACTTCAGTGCTCTGCTATCTTTATGCGGCACAGGCTGAAGACCCAAACAAACTAGATCTGTATCCAATTCCAAAAAGGGCTCAGCCTGCCAAGTGGGGAGCAATATGGTGGGGAGTAGTGAGTCAGTGGAAACAGCTGAAGTTATCAGAGGAACAGAACATTATGTGTTTATTACACAGACAATTAAATCCCTCCGTGTTGGGGGTGTTTTTTTTGATAAAATGTCATGTTGATAAGGTTGAAACAGCTGTTGAGAGAACTTTTGAAGGTTGCGTCCACATTTAATGTCAGCAGTTTAGATTGTGCTGATCCAGCGTGTGACGAATCATTCCCGCGTTACCTACCGCTCTGTGTCTGGATTTCACTCTGCTTTTCTCTCGCCCGTTCTCCCCAGGCCTCACACTTTAAAACACACACCTCTCAGCACCCTGTACGCCTTATTATCATGCCCAGCTAGGAGCTCGCCCTCCGCTGCTGCTTGGAAATTTCCGTAGAGCAATCCTTGTCCATTGTTTGGGGTGAGGGAGTGTGTGTGGGGTGGACAGAGGGAAGAAAAAAAGATAGAGAGGGAGGCAGGGACTGGGAGAATGAGAGTATGTGTGTGAGTTTCTTTTGAGGGATAATGACCCATGAGGTTGGAGGGACTTGTCTGGGATTTTTGGAACCTGGATCCTCATCGGCATGCATCGCAATCTGGGACCTGCACTGGTAATCTGCAGGGATCAAACCTATCCTTCTCTAGATCTTGGGCTAGCTAATCATTAAGCTCATTTAGAAGAAAACATCTGAGGGATCTAGCTGGAAAACCCCATTTGAACGGATTTTGATTACTCCCTTGTCTTCTGGCACTATGGGAATCATCGGATCTGATTATCCTCCTCAGTCAGGTTCGCTTTTGATCATTTCATTGACACTAGACAAATACCTTATTGGTTTTGGATTAAAGTTGACTCTTGTGCCTCTTTTAGGCCTCAGCTAAATCTTTTCAAGTTGAGTTTGTGTCTCAGATCTTGGGCAACATACTGAGAGGTTTTCACTGGCTGCCGTTCAGAAGTTTGCACTTGATATGTATCTTAAACACTGGTGAAATTCAAGCACCTTGTTTACTCCAGAGCTAAGTTTAAATGTGGCTACAAGATATGTCTGCAGTGTTATCATTCTAAATCAAATATCAGGGCTAGGCATGTAAGACATGCTTTTTCCAGGGTTCTTTTCACCACCGTTCCCAAATATTTGTGTTCTTTCTTTCAGCTTTGAGTCCTGCTTCTCTTTCCCTTAGTGAATTGTTGTGTGGGAAAGTGTTGTACATCAAAAGAAAGTATGCAAATACATCATACTACCTAAAACCTGTTTAGAAATGTGCATTCTCTTTATACAACTGGAACATGGGCTGCTTAGCAACAAGGGTTTAGGTATTTGACTTAGAATACACATTTCAATATAATTGCATGAAGCTATATTCTAAAATTGTCTAAAAAAACGGAAATGTATCTTTAAAGTTCAGAACAAACAACAAAAACGTACAAACATGACTTCTTATGTAGCTTCTGAGCAGGTGAAATGTTCTGCAGATTATCTTTTATTTTTGCTTGCTTAATGCAGATCATTTTATCTTTTTGTTTCGGCAATAAATAGTTTTCCAAACAGAGCAAAACATGGCACAAATGTAATTTCACACTGTGTGTCAAGGAATACAAACATGAATCATTGTGGGGGGTTCTGTTATTTTTAATTTATTGGCACAGCTCACTGTAACCAGATTACTTAAGATTATGTTTCTTTAAGGTTGTTTTCTTTAGTAGAGATTTTGATAACACTTTCCTTTTAAAGGGACACTGCTCCTCTCTTGCAGAGCCTACTGCACTGTGAAGGTGTGAACAACCAGAGCTACGTCTGTGAGTCCGGACACTGCTGCGGGGAGTCCCTGTGCTGCAGCTACTACTATGAGCTCTGGTGTAAGTATCCTGCTTAAGATATACATACCCCTTGTCACTTTCTCGCAAAACCCCTCCACTATTGAGGGATTGACAGGCCTGGGATATTTAGCTACCTCAATAATTCTGTTGTTGCCGAAACATCTCAGCACCCCTGAGGATTATTAGTAATAACAAATACATTTAGATTTATTTTAAGTATGGGCGTGTTTTGGATTCTCCAACATTTTTCAAGAACTTTATTGTTATTATGAAAGCACAACCACATTGGAGTTGGGACAGCCTCAAATGGTACATATAATTAAAAAAAGAAACACATGGAATAGATAAGGCATGGATTGGCCAATATAACAACATTTTAGCATTATAAGGATAAAATATCCATAAATTCCAGGAAAAAAAGTGTAATATATTAGCAGCAGCAAAAGTTACAGCCAAGCATCGGTCCAGTTCACCAAACCGACATTGGGACAAATCTCATCTGGACAACATTGGTCAGTTTCTAGGAATTCTTTTTTCCCCCTCATTCCACAACCCATGTGCCTGTGGTACCCCATCCCCTGCAGGACACTGGTCTGTGTTACAGAGTACATGTTGAGATCAGGGAGTCCTCTCCGGGCCAGTGTCATCTACATGACTCCACAACACCAACCTGTGAGAGGTGTCATGTTCGATGTTCAAGAGTCTGACTGCCGAGAACTGGGGCGTGACTGACTGCCAGCACAACAAGTAACTGCACTACTGATCTACTAACAAAATTCTGAATGAACACTTGTGTCCCCACCTTCACTGGCAACATTTCCCTGAGGTTCAAGGGCAGACTTTGGAAAGGCGCTCGCTTAAAGGCCAGCTCAGATGGACATTTGGACTCAACACTGCTCCTTTAGATCAAATGTCACATTTCTCAGACGGCAAAAGGGTGATATCAGACGCTCGACTGAAGGGCAGGATGTTCCTCACAGCGGGGACTGCCTTCAGGCGGGTGAAAAATACATACCAACCATAAATTAGTAACATTCAAACTAATTTGACAACATTCAGATTCAGATTCAGCTGATAGAGCATCAGAGCTTCCGGAATTTGACAAAGACTACGTAGAAAATGTCCAAAAATGTTCATTTTTTACAAATGCTTCTTAGATTGGAGTTTTTTTTTGCAAAAAGTAAAGAACCTTAAGTTTAAAATAATTAATAATTTAAAGATATCTTTCTTGGGATTACCATAAAATAGTGATGGTAGGAGTCCCTGGGTTATTGAAACACAAAAAATGTAACGTAAATGAAATTATTACATTTTTTGAAACATGTTAAATGTACTTTTTGATTCAAGGTATGTTATGTTTCAGCTAAACCTCCTTTCCACTCTGAAAAATGTTTACATGTGATATAATGTAATGATACGTGTATATGCAGTATTAAATGTATTACTTTACACAGATTCTGCTTGGAAAATATTCAATAAATGTCTGTGATAATGTAGCCGCATTATTTCCACAAGGTGGGCATGACATAAGATGTTTGATATGCTCAGACATGATGTCTGTCTGGGCTCCATCCATGTTTCTGACCTGACCCTGTAACCTTTTTAAATCGTCTGCTCCAAATCTTCCATGACAGTTTCTTCTGGCTTTCATTGATGTCATGAGGCTTAGGAACAGGCATTAATGATGGCATATGGGCAGTACTTGCAGTCAGGATATAATGGTTTTAACTTAAGGGCTGGAATCCTTGTTTACACACACTACAGAAACATGTTTTCTACAAGATAACCCTACTTACCTTATTAGATAAGACTTTTAAAAAAAGGGCGTGAGAAATGCACTTGTGATGATTTAACGCAGATTATTTCATACGTTCCTGTTGCTTTAAAAAGTCACCATGGGTTTATGTGCTTAGTTAACACAAATATTGCATACATGTATTTACTGTACATGCCACTATATAGGCTTGGAACCACCAACATAGAAAATCATATTTTAGCCTTTGGTCGTTGCCTGTTTTCAGAGAGAAAATTCACATGTAAGATAATATAACGTGTTGCTGCATGATTTGCAAAGTGTCATGCTTCCTCCTGCAGTAGAGGCTGGAGTTTAGATGGTACAGTTTTCTTGAAAATAATAATAATCACCTACAATGTGTTGTAGCGCTTGCCAATAGAAGCGCAAGTGTAACATAGGGATGTCACTATTTCGTAGAAATAAACAAAGAAGTCCAATGGAGGCGTTTCAGGCAGAGGGGGGAGTGTGTGGGAGAGCATTTACATGCTCAAAACCTACATAACCTATATAAAGCGAAAACTCCAAAAATCATAGAGCCCCTTTAAACAATGAAATTGTGCTGGGATGTGGTATTCATAATTGATATACCCAAATAATAACTGCGTGTACAAAAGATATTTCTGTTTTATTTATTTTGTCTTTATTTCAACATTCACAATCAGAGTTTAGTGCGTGTCTAATATCTGTGGTTGCTCCACAGAGTAAACTGTCAGTGTCTTGTTGTGGAGATAAGTACGGACTTGGACCTCTTGATGATTGAATTGATTATATGACGTCAAATTCCTAATGCAATACATAAGTTTACAAGCACGTAAATGTTTCACTATTATAACCAGAGGTTGGTTGTATTGGATCTGTTTGTGTTAGCAACAGGCAGAACAAACTAGCACAGTTTATGGACATTGTAGAAGACACTTTCCTGTTCACACGCCTTCATCATCCAACAAGTTTATTATACAATATAGTGCCAACCAATCTTATATATTTGTTATAGTTTCACTGTAAGCAGAACATGACAGTGTTGATTCCTCTCTCTTCAGGGTTTTGGTTGGTGTGGGCGATCATCTTCATCCTGAGCTGCTGCTGTGTGTGTCACCATCGCCGCACCAAACAACGTCTACAGCAACAACAACGGCAGCACGAGATCAACCTCATCGCCTACCGCGAAGCACACAACTACCCCTCCGTGCCCTTCTTCTTCAGTAAGATCTGCTACACCAACACAGACAAAATAATAAGGAAATATGATATAGTTGTTTGTATTTTTGTACGCCAACCAGGAAATTATCATCGCAAAAGTTCCCTTGACAAAAAAACGCAGGATTCTCTATCGGATTTTTGGAATATTGCAGTAATAAGATTTGTGGCAAACACACGTTTATGACACTTTGAGAAAAAAACATTCTGATCAGCAGGATAATCTCAACACACGATTATAATAGATGAAGCTTAAATGCAATAGCTGGAATTAAATTGCTAACACTAGTCTGTAAACAAACTACATTTTGCTCATGGAGCATCACCCCCGCTAAACTAAAGGCTGTCTCGTGATGGGTGAGAATATTTTTAGCAATCACATTTAGTTGGCTCAGTGTGTTTGTGTTGGAACGTCTCTCTCAAAAGGTAATTACTCTCACTGCCAGATGGGGGAGACAAAAGTTCTACAGTACAACTTAAAAATGGATGAATACCATTAACGCCAACAAGTGTTAGCTTGCAGAAACATTTTACAGAAAAAAATCAAAATAAATGTGTATTTAAGATCAGTGGCACACATTTGATTTTTGGGGACATTTTCCTCAAAAGTTGACAAAAAAAACATTTGTTGTGTGTTTATCATGTCAAGGCATCTTGAGTGCGTAAACAAGGCCTTCCTGTCAGAATTTCAGGTTTAAATCTAAATGGATAAAACATATTGACGTATGTTTTTGAAAGTGTAATTTTGAAGTGCAATTGTGCTGAAGCATTTAATTGTTTGGTATGTACAGTAGTGCAAGGGGTTAAAAGCAGGGGCATCACTCTGTTTTAAAAGTGGTTATTTAAAAATAAAACTGTATTGCGCGTAACCCTTTTTTTGCACACACTAATTTCCGTCAGGCTACAGACTCATTATATGTGTGGCCAGGGAAAATGATTGAGGAAGCCAATGTTCTCTTTGATGATCTCTCGTCTTGAACCCGCCTGTTCTCTAAAATCTATGTTTGCTTCCTCCCCCCATTATATATATATTTTTTCTTTTAACATGTAAACTACGCATTCTGGTACTCTCTGACAAGAAAATAAAGCAAAAAGACAAGATGAACTTCAGGCAAACAGGCCAAACAATATTGTCGCAAGCATGTTGTTTGAGTCATTTTAGAATCAGTAGAGTAAGGAGGAATTCTTTTTAGTTTACTTTTTTTAAATTACATTGCCTGCTGCTGCAAAGTGGGAGCAATGTTTTTTTTTACATTTTCTATTAAAAGTTTACTAACATGTCCAAATTGAAATACTTTGTGCACGCTATTTTTCAGAACATTTATAAGTTGTATTGGTCATTTCAAAAAGTGGTGGGGACATGTCCCCAGCGTAAATGACGCCTATCCGAGAGCCAGTGCTGCCCCCCCCCCCCCCCCTGCAGTCATGCATAATGTTGAAGTGTTAACCCCAAATTGCTCGGTAGGCATGTCTGCAGTATTGAAGTGTATGTTAGTCGCTTTGGATAAAGGTCTCAGCTAAATAACATGTAATGTAATAACTTGACCCCATTACAAGGATTACCAGCTGCGTGTCGAGTGTACGACTCAAAGGTCGCCTATGTCAAGTCTATCGTAGAGGTGAAGGTGTTTTGGAAAACAAAAACTCAGTTCCTAACCGTTAGAATTTCAAGCACTAACACGTAATTATCAAACTGAGGAATTAAAAATGAGTGACAAACAGCGCGGTATGAGCCTGGCTCAGTGTAGTGTTTGCACTGACATGTATCCCTGGTTTCACACAGCGTCAGAACCTTCCCTGTTTGCATGCCCCAGTTTTCAGGAAACGGCCGGCATCCTTGGGTCCTTGCCAGTGTTGCAACAGCATCGCGCACAGAGCTGCAACGGCCTTCAGCACAGAATTGACCCAGATATGAGCTTGTTTTGTCACATTTTTCCCCCTATTGCTTTGGGAATGTTTGAATAAATGGAAGTTCAGTGAGGTCATGTTAGAATCTTTAGGGGTCAGACAGCGAAGTTATGTGAATGCAAAAATAACTAAGTGTTGCTGCCATGAAACATTTTCAGTGCTTAAGCTGATTTCTGCTTTTTTTTAATCAGGGTTTCTGCCAAACTACCTCCTGCCTGACTACGAAGAGGTGGTCAACCGGCCCCCGACTCCCCCCCCTCCCTACAGTGCCTTACACACAGGCCCATCCTCAGTGGCTACTAGCCCCCTGGCTCCTGATCAGCAGGAGGGACACTGTCCAAACATCCAGCCCACTCCGGTGCCCCCGGTCTCTGACAGTCTGTGCAGACCCGGGACAGAGGAACCACAGCCCCCCACCTTAGACTTGAGGCCAAAGCCTGACAACAAGCCGCAAGAGTCTGGCGTGATACCGCTGTCAGATGGACTCAGGGAGGGACTTAGCAGCCCGGAGAAAAGGAGCGGAGGTGCGGAGGACTGCTGCAAGGACCCCCTGTTGAAGGAGCCGACGGAGGGTCCTGCTGAGGACAAAGATCGACTCCCCAATGGACGGAGGAGGCGATTCACGGGGGACTCCGGGATTGAGGTGTGTGTGTGCGGCTCACGAGGGAGCAGCGGTTTTAGTGGAGCTGGAGGGACAGGCCAGGAGGGAAAGGAGTTGAGGGAGCTAGAGAGCCTGCTGGGGCATGAGGGGGTAGATGAGGAGCAGGGGGGAGAGGAGGAGGAGGAAGAAGAGGAAGAGGCGGGCGACTTCTGCGACAGCTGTGGCAATCGAGCCTCCTTCAGTGTGGAGGAGGAGCAGGCGCCGGGCGAGCCGGAGAGGCGGGTCGCACCCGGGCCTCCTCAGCCGGCTAACCAAACAAGCGGTGCCGCGGCCCACCCCCCCGTGTGCCTCCTCCTCCACACCATCAACGAGCAGGAGGGGCCGCACCTCGGCCCCAGCACTGAGCCGCAGGGCTGACACACACCTGCATGTCGGAGAGGGAAGAGGCTTTTGTATCTGACGGGTGTTTTATGTCTAAATACTGAGTGTGAGTATATGTGTGTAGATAAAACAGGTGTGGGAGCGGGAAGTTGAAACTCAACGAAATATGACTGAGAGAGTTAAGAAAACCTGCCCCCCCTCACACTGGAACGGTGGCCTTAACCTGTGTGTTTTTGGGTTACGTTCGGGCAGTCCAAGCCCCTTTAACAAGCCTGGGGCAAATTGAGACTCCTCACACTGAATCTCACACACACACGCACACACACAGTCCTTCAGTTGACCTTGTCATGCAACAGAAACTACTGACACACAGTCAAAGACTTGAAAGCTAAAGCTGTGACGTCAGGAAGGGACATTCACTGCCCTGGATTAACGCAGCTCTACATTTTGGGTGCTTGCAACGTTTCTACCAAGCCGTTTTTCAAGGCAGGAAACTAGGTAGTAAAAAAAAAAAGGAACACACAGCAGGAACATTTTTGGGTGAGTGCAATGTGGATTTGCCACTGTGCGTGCTTATGCAAACTGATACTGTACAGGGACGCTAGAACAAGGCTGTGTGTGACGTCCCATCAGATTTCAGAAGTGCTTTTTTAGCTATTTAAAAACCGCTCTGCCTTGTGTGTGTTTGTGTTGCTCTCTATCTGCCCCAGCTAGTCATAGACAAGTATAAGTGCATTTACAAATGTTCATGTGAGCAGTTCCTATTTTGCACAAAGTGTATTTATCTTTATAAATGAAACTTTAATGGCTTAAACAAATCAAAACAGAAATAGCATTCAGTCTTAAATTGCAGTTACATAATTTAGTGTCTTAGGGTTTTGGGGCAACATCAATAAGAAATGGACCTCTGTGGATTGTTAGTAGGGAATGTAACAGATTCACTCTGTACACAATCACTTAAAAAAAAATAATGGAATGTTTGTAGTATGTGCCTACGCTCCCCAAAGAAAATGCAGAACTTTTATGAACAATGACGGTTTCTATGAAACTGAGAGACAATGAGAAAGCAGGTACAAAAAATAATATATAAAAAGCTTCTTAGAGATTACAGATGAGAACGTCAGACCTCAAACTCAGTCACTTCTATACATAACCACCTTCACCAGCTATACAAATATTGACACCCTGTACTGGAATTTCATAGTAGCACAACCTGAATACACTTTTGCTGTGGTATTCATCCATTACACATCAATAGCAGCTTCCTGTAGGGTCTGTTAAATTGGATTTAATTAGACTGGTGCAATTTAACCAAAATAGCTATATGAACAGCTATATAACTATAAATATGTTTTACTAATTGATGACTCAATATAATGCACTGTGCTGTACAATCTGAGAGAGGAAATGTTCCGTGTATGTGTATTTTCCTTTATTTTTATACCATAATTTAGTCTGTTAAATGGAGTAATACCTATATGGGGACTTGAATTAATGAATAAAGTAAAATAAACCAAGTAGCAAAAAATAAGATAAGGTAATAAAATAAGTTTTGGTAGTTGTCCTTTGTTATTATCAATACCAGTAAACAAGAGGATATTACTTGTTACATGTTTTATGGACAAACATTACAGTTTAAAAAGCAATATTGATAATGCTGCAATGCGAATAGAAAGCAAAGACCACCGTTGTTCCATCATAAGTATGTTGTAATGCCTTTAAGATCGTGAATGTTTTAAATCTAACCTTTTAATCCAGATTTTACAGAAGTTCTGATGATAAATGGGCCATGAAAAATGACACTGGTTGTAACAGGAGCATGCTATGTAAAACTTTTACAAAAATAAGTGAAATTAGACTGTCCATTCCCTAAAGCGAACTGGAACTTGGTGATGCGACATGTCATTGTGTCATGATAATGTATTTTTTTTTCTACTTTGGAGCACCCTGAAAAATGCACACGTCCCAATGTTTGCAAAGCACAAATGTTTCCTTTCACAGATTTCTATATAACGCTAGATTTTAGGGCCTAAAACAATCTAACGAGATCTCAAAACTTCTAGCACAAATTAAATTGTATCGTGAACTTTCTGTATAAGCAGTAAGATGATTGAATCTTACCCATGAATGCCTGAACACTCTAAAGTGCTTTATTTGTTAATTCTTTTTGTGAGCTAAAAAGTGATATTGTGAGATTGTGGTACATGTAGTATCAAGAAAAAATATTTTTCATATCGACTGAAAACCTTTAAAAAAATATTGGAACTGTATACAATTTCAGAACCACTTTTTATTTGAAAATATGTAAAAATATACTGTAACATGTTTTGTGAACCAAATAGTTGCTTTCATAATTTTTATGAAATCATGAGCTTTATTGTTATGGACAGCTTTTCTCATTATGGCTATTATTTGTTTCTGTTATGAGAAGATTTCACTTCTTAAGCTGTGTGAAGGGTACGTTTTGACTAACAATACAGTCGATACATGTAAACAAGATCAGGGGCATCTTGCCAAAGACACCTTTTCTTTCTTAAACCAGTGTGTATGGTGGTTTTGCACGTATTCTTTGAATGTTCTGATCAGCCATTTATTACAACCAACAAGATGGACGTATGTTAAATAAAACATGCCCTTTCAAATTCAAGCTGACTCTTGTTAAGACTGAGTGAAGCTCTATTTTTGTGTGTGGAAAACTAAACTTGCACTTCTAAAGACTGAATAAAAAAAGTATAACATGCATGTCATATCATTTGATGCGTCGTCGGAGGGCTTGAATAATTGCAGCAGCAAATCACTAGCTCAACGTTAGCTAGGGATAGCAGTTGGTATTCAGCAACAGACACCACGATAAAACATTCTGACAGATATAATAACCCAATATCTTCTATCCGGCTCAAGCGCCATTTTGTCTATTGTTTTACAGCCCATCCATTTAGCTATGTAGGAAAAATGCCAACTATTAAGGTAAGAAACCATTGATAGACAGGGTTCCCGCGGGGTCTTAAAAAGTCTTAAAAAGTCTTAAATTTGATAATCTGAATTTAAGGCCTTAAAAAGGTCTTAAATATGACCAAAAAAATAAGAAAGGTCTTAAATATGATTTAGAAGGTCTTAAAAATGATGGGATTTGAAAGGTACTTCTGTGTTGCGATCGCGTCTATATGTGTTTTGGGGGAAATGTCCGGGCTGCAAAGTAACCAGTACGGTAAGAGCCTTTCAGTTCCCCCCAACAATTTGTATTGAAATAAATCAACATGGAACCAGTAATCACTAACTTTGTTTCCCCCGGCCCCTTATTGGAGAACACCCAGCTAGTAACCTAGCAAGCAAGCTTCAGCTAGCGACAGTCAGAAACTAATGTATCTTAGAATCTACTTACAAATAAATATGGGGAAGTGTAAGTTCAACCGTATTTGGTTGGAAAACATCGAATTTAGTGCTTGGTTGAAACCAGTGGAGGGGAACGTGTTTGAAGCCCGCTGCACCTTTTGAAAAATAAATTAGCGTTTGTTTTGCTAATGTGTTAATTATTTAAAACAAATAATAATTTGAACAGTATCTTTTTAACTGATTACCCTGAACCTATAATTCAACTGCAAAACCAATACAAAAATAAATAATATCAAAATAATAAATACCAATAAACAAGATCAACAAATATTTTGGAGCGCACTTCCACAAGCTATTAAACATGTATAAATATGATAAATAAATTAGACTAAAATTAATTAGATCAAATATGTTGTAGTGCACTGTCACAACCTAGCAAAGCAAAATCATTTCGTAATTGTGGCAGGCCAAAATCGTAATTGCGATTAAAATATGATTAATTGCACACCCCTAACACACAGACACACACACATACACTTTTTGTCTAACACGCTAACACAGTGCTGTACTGTTATGCCTTTACATTTACTTTGTAAGTAATTATGGGACGTATTTCTTCTTTCATAGCAATTTTCCTTCATACTTTCTTGCCGTGAAATAGGTCTTAAATTCTATTCAAAGTGGTCTTAAAAAGGTCTTAAAAAGTCTTAAATTTGAGTAGGCGAAACCTGCAGGAACCCTGGATAGAGACACCTCTTTTAATCCTATGAGTTGTTCAGTGGGCATGAAGCCAAAATGGCTGACTTCAGAACAAAAATATACTTTCTTACTATTTTTATATCCCATGTCATTATTTTGGGATTGTTCTTATATACATATATTTTTTCAGTGACAGAAATGTGCTTACATACCGTTTAACTCAAGCTAATAAATGAAAGCACTAAATAATTTGGTCATAGTTCAGTTCAGGAACAACACGATGTAGCACCAAATCATAACTCTGTAGTGATCACTGATGCATACACTGGGGTTACATAATCCAATCATGGAACTACAGGTTGGGGGTATTGTTTCCGCCCGGACACATATGTTGACGGTACCTCCGGGGTACCTACTGTGTGTCCTCCTCTTTCACTTTCTCTTCTCCTCTTTCCTGCAACCCGACAGCACGTCGATTTCTGCTCTCCAATAAAGAGAGATTTGCAACTCTGATACACCGCCTCCGTCTCCCTTCTCTCGGCACTACAGTGGTGACCCTGACATAAGTCTCGCGAAGGATCCGGGACTGGACCGAACACGGCAAAAAGCAGACTCTGCTTTTCTCGAAATGCCGGAGATTTTTGGGGACCTCCGTTGCTGCCACGTGCGCACGGACTGAGGCTCGGTGCGCCCCACGGAATGGACGCGGACGACGCTCGCCATTTTCACGGCTTTTCGGCTCTGGGGGACGGCAAGCCTTCCATGGGGCCGGTACGCGACCGTGCCGGGTTGGTTCGGGACGTGCGGCTGCATGTCCGGCCAGCGACTGACGGCCGCCGAGAACGGCTAGCGACGACTGCTAGCATCAGCTAACGCCTTGCAGCTACCGGCGGCTATCGACAACCGACTGTTTTTTTTAATTTATTTTTAATTTTTTTGTGGTGCCGGAGAGGGGGTTCGATCATGTCTGGTCGGCCTCGCGTGGATCCTCTCGCTATTTCGCCCACCTGTTTTTGTTCGTGGACAGGACGACCTTTTGAGCTTTTTCTGGTGCCGGAGAGGAGGTTCGACCATGGCTGGTCGGCCTCGTGTGGACCCTCTCGCTGTTTCACCACCTCGACGGCGGCTTCGGACGTCACACAGTGGCGCGCTTCTGGACCCCGTCTCGCCTCTTCCCTCGCCTCGGCGGTTCCGGACGTCGCCCATGCCTTCATCGGCCCGTGGGTGGCGCGCTTCGGGACCCTGCCTGGCCTCACCTCTGACCGCGGCTCACGGTTCGCCTCGACGGCGCCCCGTCTGGCCTCTCCCCTGTCCACGGCTCCTTCCTCCCGAGGACTTCGTGCCCGCCGCCGCTGTGCCTTCGCCTGCGGCCGGGCAGCGCTCCTCCCGGCTGGGGACCACCGGGTTTTTCACGCCCGTCCCCTGGTCTCGACACAGCGACCCTGCTTTCTGCGGCCCCCTGACGACGGCCCGTTCCGCTTCACATTTGATGTTATAACATCCCAGTACACGCATTGTAACAGTGAACAGTTCCTTCAAAACAATTAAGCTTCATATCAAAAACAAATGAACCTTGCAACTTGAAAAAAAGAGTGAACAAAAGACACAAGATAAGAACATTGATATCCAAAGCAGGAAAGAAGAACAGAACGTGTAAGAACACAACAGACATTTAAAGAACAAGGCGGGACAAGAACTGTTATCATTGTGCGACATGAAGAATGTTGACCACGCCCTAACTTTAATCGTTTGTTTACGTCCCTCACTTCCGTTTCGCTTCTCATTTGCTAGCTGAACAGCTGATCAGAGTGGTTTCTTGGCCCGATAGCTTGTGTCCGACACCCGGCCGATTCAACATGTTGAATCGGCCGGGTGTCGACCGTGAAAGGCCAAATAAGGCGTGTCACGGCCGAGGGTTCGGGACACACCAAATTGACTTTGGGCGACAAGGAACCCGTTGTCGCCAAACAACGCAAGACGGCCGATATCGGCCTGGTGTGTAGGGGCCTTTAACAGTGGAAATTGAGTCCATGATGTCGGATGATCTGGCCGAGGGGATGTACTTAAAGTATAACAAGTTAAGATAAACATTGCACAGAAAAATTGCCTTCATGTGTGATTATCATTATATTTGTAAGCGACATTTCTAGATACTATTGTTGAATCACGTAGCATTTAACTGTTTTAGACAAACAAAGTTCTGATTTACTTTTTGTAAAATATTTAAATAATTGTACTCTTTTGTAACTTGGAAGAGTCCATTAGTTTAATGTTGAGGGATGCATTTTGTTAGAAGTAGCTCAAGCTGTTAAAGAAATGTAGTGGAGTAAAAAAACATTGTTTCACTTTTAATTGTAGTGGAGTAGAAGTATAAAGTAGCATAAAATGGAAATACTCAGGTAAAAGTACAAGAACCTCATAATTGTACTTAAGTACAGTACTTGAGTAAATGTAGTAAATTACTTCCCACCTCTGATATGGACATCAGTTGGGTTTCAAATAACATTTCCAGTTTTTCTAGTAGGTAGTCTACTCAATTGTTGTCTTGGCATGTCTCAGAGAGACAATTGTTCCATAATATTAATTTCCTGCACTATTGCTTTCCACTCTGAAGTTGCTGGACATTGTCTACTCTTATCTTTGGGATTTGTTGACTGTACCAGGGTTCAGATGTGATATCAGACCGTGAGGGGCAGGACGTGCTATTAAGTAGGAAGTCATTTCATATTAATTTTGTTCGGAGAGCAACTAGGTGTGCATCAGAAAGCTTTCCTCTACAAATAAAATAATACTTTACTTCAGTAGGCTACTTGAAACACTCGAGACAATGGCCGAAGAAAACAGGTAAGAACATCAAAACATGCCTCTTTTCTCATTCATCATATTGTATGTTCATGTAAACTATCATAATAAATTGAGCGAGTGGCGTGTGACATTCGAACCTTCAACTTGAATGACCATAGTGGTAACGTCACATATATTACGTATTAAAAATAGCTTGTGTGCAGTTATAACTTGTCATGTTGTTGTTGCAAACTAGCAAACTGAGTGAGCACTTAGCAGATAGCTAACATTAGAGTTAACGACGAACATGCAATTTGAAGTTAAGTTCACTTTCAAATACTTGTTGTTAAAGTGCGTGTGCCAAGGGCTTCGTCGATAGCAGCATTCATGTCGACGTCAAGGTAATTTCACGTGCATCACATATTTACACAGCACATGTCATAGTGTTTGCTAGCTTAGCTTAAACTTGTGCTTTCATGAGCTTAACCACTGACAACTTGTAGTAACAACGTAATGTCTATTTAACGGTTTCAAGGTGAATTAAGCGATCAAAGTACATCTCACCGTATGAGTCAGTTTACTACTACCGTGCCATGTGGGCTACAGTAACATTGATGACAACCTGATGTAAAAGTAACTAAATACAGTTACTCAAGTAGGCTACTGTACCGGTACTTAAATACAATTTTGAGGTACTTGTACTTTACATGAGTATCTGTATTTTTGCTACTTTGTATGTCTACCCCACTACAATTCAGAGGTTAATCGTGTACTTTTACTCCACTTAAATAAGACTTTAGTTACACCTGGACTAAATAGCATGGATGTATAATAAGAACTAAATAAATAAAACTAAAGAAAAGAGCTAAATACCCAGCAGTAAATAAAATAATAAAAATTAGTTCCGCGGTGTTAACCAGCTGTGA